TGACTGGGATAATTGGGATGGGTGTGTCAGAGACAGTGCGAATGGCACAGGACAGAGCAGAGTTTAGGGCTGTTGTACATAGGGTCACTATGAGTCGCAAGCGACTCGACAGCACATAACAACAACAGCAACCCCACCCCCCGCCTGTGGTTCTCTGGCTGGGAGTTCCTAGGACTCTTTCTTTATCAGTGTTTAACTTGAAATGGTTTCTTTTTATTGTTGTTACACACTGGCAAACACACACCAGTTCACCTCTTTCTGTAGGTACAATTTACTGACACTGATTTTCCGAGTCCGGCAGCTGTTCTGGCCCTCCCGACCTCCTGGGCTCGCTTCCCCACCCACAACACACCATTCCCTAAGTGAGGTTAGGTAACCTTTCTGGGGGCTCTTGCCAATTTGATCCCAGATGTAGTTTTTAAGAGTGTAGTGCTCAGGGCAGATGTTGTTTACTGGTTAAATGATAGCCGCTCTGCTGTTGGGCTGCGGAGCTCTGGTGGTGCAGGCTGAAGCGTACTGCACAGCTGACCCAAGGTCTGGGCTTCTCTGGTGGGTCAGAACCGACTAGCAGCAACGAGTTGAGCTTATTGTTTGGTTCAAAGATGATTTTGGGAGTATTTTTAGCTAAAAGTTTAAAGATGATCTCAGGACAATAGTTTCAGGAGTTTGTCCATCCTCCATGGATCCAGGAAGTCTGGATTCCATGTACATTTGAAATTCTGTTCTTCATTTCCCTCCTTTTGATCAGGGTTCAGCTATAAACTGAAGATGCTGTCATGGTAGCCAGGTGGCACTTGGCTCTTCTGGTCATATGCACAGGAGGTGATTGTTCACGGGTGCAGTTAGCCATGTCTTCCACTTCCTCTCCCGCTGCCTGGATCTTCTCCTGTGCTTCTGGGCCAATAGAGACATGTCTCTTGGAATGCCACTTGCAAGCTTTTAAAAGGGTCTTAGTTTTATTGCCTCCACCACCCCAAGAATGAGCGGGGTTGCCCCTGAATTGGCCGGGCAGCATATGTGTGTGGGGGTGTTCACACTCACAAGTACTTGGCTGTCCTCACTAAAGAGATGGAACGGCTAAGACTAAGAGGCGTTTGTTGAACGGATGCGGAGCACAGGAGTGGACACCGGAGGACTGAACTGGTGAACAAACCAGTGAGTGAGTGAGCAATCCACTCGGGGAGTGGGGGCTTCCTGGTTTCTTTCTGTCCCCTCAGGTGTAAGCAGTGTTCCAATACGCTCCACTCGGGAACTTACCGGACCACGGAGGAGCCTGGCATCTTTGTCTGCACCAGCCATCAGCCCACAGCTGACTCTGTGAGCCCCATGACACTGCACCAGAGGAGGGCTGCCCCCAGGGACCCCAGCACTTCCCAGAAGGCCCAGGAGCAGAATGGGCTGAGAGAGGCAGCTCCAGGGGCCAGGCAGTTGGCCCGGGAGCCCATGGTAGACAACTCGGCATCCAGACGTTTCCCTCCATCCACACCTGACCCTCCAACCTCTGCTGCCTCCTCTCACGGCCACCGGGGGAGCCCCACCACACCCAGGCTCCCTGTGGGCACTGTGGCCTCCAGCCCCATAGCCAAGGCCAGCATGCGGGTGACCAACAGTTCGCCAGTCGGGTGGTCCTCACTGGCACAGGGCACCTCTGCAGCCAAGCCTCAGCCGTCTGGACCCATAAACACCCAGAACCCTTTCCCAGCTGTGCCACAGACCCAGGCAGCCCCTCGAGAGGTATCTCTACAGACCAAGCTCAGCCCAAGCCCAGTGTCTCTGGCCCCTGTGAACCATCCTGCCTGGACACCTGGAGCCGTTAGGACCCAGCAGGCCCGGGAGAAATTCTTCCAGGCTTCCAGCAATGACTCGGCCAGTGGTGGCTCCAGGAAGGGGACTCCAGTGGACACAACTCCATCAGTGGACAGTGGCAAACAGCAAGCACTGAGCTTCCTCAGGAAGGCCCTTCCCGCGTCCAGCCGGTCAGTGGACACAGAAAGGCCGGGGTGAGGGCTCTGTTCTCTGGGTGGTGCTGTGGGTATAATGTCTGCCTTCTGGAAGGGGCTGGGGCGGGGCCTGTGCCTTCTGGAAGGGGCTGGGGCGGGGCCTGTGCCTTCTGGAAGGGGCTGGGGAAATGGGTCTTGTCCTCTAGGAAGGTCTAGGAGTGTAATTTTGGACCTGTGAAGGAGTTGGGGACATGGGCTCTGTCCTGTAGAAGACCAGTCTGTCCTCTCTGGCTGAGTGACCTGAAGAACTGCTTCCCTGGGCCTCAGTTTCCTTGATCTGAGAAATGGGAGCACGAGATCATGGGACTAGAGGTTTTTTTTGTTTGTTTGTTTGTTTGTTTTTTTTGCCTCATGATGTTGGGATTGCCTGTGTGCCAGGCAGCTGCCTTCACAAAGTTGGCATCTGAGGGTCTGATGCTCCGTTAACTTCATTGTGGTTCGGGTGGGTGTCTACAGAAAAGGTTTGTGTTCGGTGCATTTTGCCAATGATGCAGCAGCACTCTTCCCACCCCCTCCCTGGGATTCCTCTTTCTCTTTGTCCTTCCTTCTGCCTTCTGAGCTTTTTCTCTGGGATGATTTTGACAGAATCTTGTTTGGTTGGTTGTTCCAAGCAGTGTCCACTTCTCTGGTGGTGTTGGTCACCTGTAGGCCTGTCTGTTGTTTGACTGAAAGTTGAACCAGGGGGAGTTCAGTCCCAGGCTTGCAAGGTGACGCAGGTCACGGTCTCAGGGTGCCCCAGTCTCCAGCAGACCAGCAAATTTGGTGTTTTTAGTGAGGGTGTCTTGTTCTGCATTTATCTCCCTCGTCATCCTTCTGCTATGGCCCCTGTCAGAGCGGTCAGCACTGGGAGCTGGACACTATCTCGTCCTTCTGGTCTTGGGGCCTGGACACTGGGGTCATGTGGCCTGGACACTGGGGTCATGTGGCCCACAGTCCTTTGAACTCATGGTCACCTTCTTGTCTGGTCAGACTGGACAGAGATCATTTGCGCCACACTTGTGCCCATATGATAGATGGGGAAAGTGCGGTGTGAGTGGGACCCATTGACCAGGCCAGGGTGCTAACCAGTTGGACAATTGAGTCAGGCTCAGATTACCTGGAGATGTCCAAGGTCTCCCGAGCACTGGACCCTGAGCTGGCATTCGTTGACCGATGGCAGGTTGTTCTCTTGGAGAGTACGGAGCAGGACGGCCTGGTGTGTAGCTGTGACCACTCAGGCCAAGCCGCTTGCCCGCTTCACAGCCCAGCACAGCCCTTGTCCTGGGGTGGGATGCTTGGCTCAGGCCCACCCACTCACAACTTCCTGCTGGTCAGCCCGTGGTGCCTAGTGGTCCCAGCAGTGGAGGTGGACATGAAGGGTAGTGAGCTTGTCTGTCCACTCCTGGGGGAGGTGGGAGGCCCAGGGCATCATGGGGCGGTCTTAGAGACTAGGGTGCCAGTAGGGGCATGGGTACCCACCTGTGTGCAGGGGATGGTGTGTGAACCTCACAGCCTGCCTGCCATGGGGGGCACCTAGGGAGGCTTTGTAAGGGCCAGGCCTGGGGCATCTCGGTGGCCTGCCTTGCTCAGGCAGGACTCCATGTCTGTCTTAGGCCATGTGAAGATCACTGTCCCAGTTAACACTGAAACCACTGGACAAGCAGGAAGTAAAACTCTCGCAGCAAGTGCTTAGAAAGCAGAAAGCCTATAAAACTCTTCCTGCCCAATCTTAACCCTTTATTATTAAACTCAGCAGCTGTAGGCCATCTGGGGTACCGTTAGAGGGCATCTTCTCTGAAGAACCCACCTGGGCCTGGAGGTAGAGGAGATGGGGACAGGGAGGAGCTGGCCTGGTCAGGGGGACAGAATAGCCAGCCTAGGGGTGACTAATATCCCTGGTCAAGCTACTGGTATGGACAGTACTGTGCCAAGTACCTACACAGAAGGCTTCAGGGCCTGCTGGACACGAGGACTGGGCTGGGCAGGCCCTGGACAGCCACGGCGCTGGGCAGGGGCCTCCACAGCTCAACTCAGGGCCTTTGTGCTGCTACAGCTGGGTGTCAGACTGCGGGGTGTCTTCATTTACTCCAGATTTCAAGTGTGGGGTGTGATCAACTGTCCTCTGTACAGTGGAGGCCTCAGGCCACTCTCTGTGATTCATACCTCCACATGCTGAGGGGCCTCTGTTGGGGGCTTGGGGTGACTGCTGACTGCTTCTACACCTGAAGCCCACCTCTCACCCACAGATCATCCCCTGCCTCCTCCGGGGCTCTGAGTTCACCTCCCAAGACTGAGGCTTCATGGACGAGTCCGTCAGCCAGGCCATTGGGAGTGGCATCTCCTCTAACCCACAGTCCTTCTTGGAGAAGTGGTCACCCCTCAAAAGCTGGGCAGGGGACACCCCTAAGCACGAGCATCGCCTCCCGGACCTCTGGGTCACCCCAGGCTGGAAGGAAGAGAACAGGGGTCACTGTGGCGGGCAGCACAGCCAGTGTGGGCACCAGGATGAAGCCAGAGGAGCCCCTGGCCACGAAGGGTGAGCTGTTGTGCCCCAAGCCTGGTCATTCTTCTGACCACTGCCCCCTGCTGGTCAGCTGTGTCCAGACCTGGCATCCTGTCCTCTGTAACTGTGCCCACAGTGTCCAGGGTCACTGCCCTCACCCTGTCCCACCCTCTCCTGTCCCCTGATTGGACTGCACTCCAGACTCGGCCAAGTGTCCTCGGTTTTGGGGACCAGGCTGGTGGCAGTGGGAGCCTCCTGGGCTCCAAGGAGCTTGGCACCCCTTCTCAGGACAGAGGTCCCTAGGTAGTGGGCTCCTGATGTTTGGCCTTGTGCTGTTGAGGTGTCCACTTTTGCACCAAATGGGCAGCTGTTTTCTTGCTGGGACTCTGGGACTGTGAGGGGCCTGAGGCCTCAGAAGGCTGGTGCACAGCAGGAGAAGTGTCCAGCTGCCAATGGAAAAGCTGGAAGTTTGCACCTGGCTGTTCTGGGAGAGAGAGATGTGTTCATTGGCTTCTATAAAGATGGCAGCTGTGGGGGCCATGCGGGGCAGTTCTGCTCTGTCCTCTAGAGTCACTGCACTCTCGCTCCGGACCACCTGGGCTGGTGAGAGTGTCACAGAAGCAGATAGAGCCATGTCACATGGATCTGCTGTGAACCCCATGGGGACACTGTGGGTAGTCCAGTCACCTCACATGGGCAGGAGGAACAACAAGCCTTGGGAATGGACAGCTCCCCCTGGGACCCTGTGTGGTCGTGTCTGTGCTGAAGGATGGGGTGATTGAACCTTTCCACCTGTTCATCTCCCCACCCATCCAGGTCCCAGTGCCAGCACCCAGGGTCCCCTGGAGGACAGTCCAGCCGGGTGGAGAGCCCGCCTGAAACCTGTGGATAAGAAGAACACCCCCGACAGGTGAGAATGGGGCAAGTGTGGGAGCCCGCTGCGCAGAGGCACACCTTGAGGCTCCCTGGGTTCTGCCCAGCGGGACGCCTCCTATACGGTGTTCTGCAGGGCCTGGGCCACCTGAGCAGGACGGGGGGGCAGAGCACACTGTCCTGGGCGATGAGGGCCACCCAGGCACCTCGGACGAAATCTTTCCCCAGGCCTTTCCACTTCTGAGAGGTTGGGGCCACTGTAACCCCTCAGGGTGTGGGTCTCATGGAGCCATCGTGGCTAGAGTCCCATAATGGCCACTGACAGGAAGTTGGGGTCCAAGTGGGCATCCTGTGGGCGGTGAGCAGAGGAATGACCACACACGCATTGCCTGGCCTACGCACGTGTGTTTGTACCTGAACATCAGCGGCAGGGCTTAAAAGCCGGCTGTGCGATGTCAGTGACACGTAGAGCACCACTTAGGGCACCACTGAATGTAACGGGGCACAGCATAGGCACAGCAGGCCCAGATGGCCCATCCTCTGTGGTGCCCTCTCCCCTGGTCACTGGGTCTGGGGGTCAGGGCACATGAGCACATCTGCTTGGCTGAAGGCAAGGTGGTTCCTTGCAGAAAACTGTAGGGACAGGGCAGGAGGTGTGGACTGAGACTGTACCTGTGAACGTCAGACAGATGTCTGTCCCATCCAGGCCCCTCAGTACATGCAGGGGCTAAGGGGGTGGGGCCTGTGTGCGCATGTGCGTACACACACACACACACACACACACACACACACACACACACACACACACTCCCATACACAGGAGCCTAGAACTGCACCTGTAGTCACCTGAGCATGTGGACCCATGAAGGTGGGTGCACAAGTAGATGTGAAATAACACACGTGGGGGTCCAGTGGTGTCCAGTCCCATCAGAGCAGCCAAGTACTTTCTTGACCTAAGGTTGACGTGTCTGCACCTGTCCGTGGCCCAGGCCTGTGGGCACTGGGCTGTGACTCACATCCCTCTTTCCATCCAGGTCTGTGGAGCCAAAGGAATCCCAGGCTCCTGGAGGGTGGAAGGCGGGGGATGCGCCCAGGAAGGTGCTGCAGAGCTCCCAGGTGGACGGCCACAGTCGGCTGACCCCCATGCAGAACCCTGGACCCACCGTCTCAGGTAACATGGGTGGGACTTTGGCTCTGCTGTGCACCTGCCCAGCCAGGGCGCTTGGGGCTGCACCGTCCCCATGATGGGGCTGTGGTGAGTGGCCCCCTGCCAGGTCACGGTTCTCTTCTCTGAGGGTCACTCTGTTCCCCCTGGGTGGACGTGGCTAGTCGTGCAGAGCATGAGCAGAGAGCCAACCCTGGTTGTTTGGGATGTTGGCGTGGCGACGCCTTGGCCCAGCCCTGCTGGGAAAGAACAAGGCCCTTGGTCATCAGGTGGCCCCAGGCTCAGGGAAGAAGTGAGGGGTGGGGGGCCCTCATGTGACTTTGCTCTTCCTTCGAGCAGACTCGCCCTCCTCCCAATCTGGCCGCAGGAGGTTGGCTGTCCCTGACAGCTTGGATGTGAGTGGGGCCTGGCTGCAGCCTGAGTCCCCTGGACAGGGACCCTTGGCTGTCGGCTGGAAGAAAGCCGAGGCCCACACTCGGGACCTAGCAGGTCAGCCCCAAGGACCCCACTTTCCTCTTCCACTTGGGTGTGAATGAAGGAGAGGCTGGGCAGGGATTTGAAGGGTAAATAGGAGTTCGTATGTCTGGAACAGAGGTGGGGGCCACTTGGGGAGGGGTAGCCTGTGCAGACACCTCCAGATCACCAGTGAGCCAGGCCATACCTGTGACCAGGGCTGGGGGACTGATCCAGGCCATTGCCCGGTGACAGTGATCCCTCTTGAAGGCAAGAAGGAGTCAGGGCACTGCTGACAAGTGGAGGGGCCCAAGGAGGGTGGGGACCTTTCTGTGGACCTGTGGACAGAGTGGGTCAGTCTCCAGAAAGTCTTCCCATTGGGGTCTCACCCCCACTTCTGGGTGATGGGGGTGATAGGGGGGCAATTTACATAAAAGACTATTGGGCCAGGCCACAGCAGGGGACTTTGGGGTGATATATGCTGGTGGGGTCATGTCCACTGCCCCCACAGGGAGACTCCCAGGTCCAGCTAAAGTCCCTATCTCATCCTGCAAGTCTCCATTGTCTCCAGCCCGGGTGAGTGGGCCGAGGTGGGGTGAGGGGGGAGATGGACATCCTACCCCTCAGTGCTCATCACCTAACCCTAACCCTAACCCTAACCCTAACCCTTACCCCTCGGCTCTCACCACCGTGTCCATCCTGCCCCTCGGCCCTCGCTGCCCACGTCCATCCTGCCCCTCGGCCCTCACCACCGTGTCTCTAATCCTGCCCCTCTGCCCTCACCCCTGTGTCCACAGCCACACCCTGACTATGTGCCCCAGGAGGAGATCCAGCGGCAGGTACGTGACATCGAGAGGCAGCTGGATGAGCTGGAGCTCAAGGGCGTGGAGCTGGAGCGGCAGCTGAGGGCAGCCGAGGGAGGTGAGTGCCTGCATGGGACAGTCTAGAACTGCCTGGCTAGGTCTCCCTGACCCCTGTCCACCCCATTCATGTCCACATCCTGGCCAGGTCCTCAGCCCATGGTGTCTCCATGTCTGAATCCAAGGCAGCCCAGACACTGCTTGGCCCAGGCCAGCCCCACCCTAGACCCCAGGCCCCCCGAGCCCCTCAGGCCTCTAGAACCTCTGAGCCCCCAGGACTCTTGGGCTCCCAGGCCCCCTGAGCCACCAGGATCCCTGAGCCCTTAGGCCCCTGAGCCCCACAGGCCCCCAGGTCCCCAGAACCCCTGAGCCTCAAGACCCCAGAAATCCTAAGCTCCCTGAACCCCTAGACCCCCTGTCTCCAGGCCCCCCAAGCCGCTGGGTCCCCAGAACCCCTGAGCCCCAAGGACCCTGTAGTCACTGGGCCCCCAGGACCCCTGAGCCTCTAGGCCTGACCAGCCCCCCTCACCACACGTGGGCCTGGGCCCAGCCCACTCAGCTGTCTCTCTCTCAGACGCCACCGAGGACGAGCTCATGGTGGACTGGTTCCGGCTCATCCACGAGAAGCAGCTGCTTCTGAGGCTGGAGTCGGAGCTGATGTACAAGTGCGTGTGGGCCGCGGGCGGGGCGGCTTGCCTAGGACTGGCCTCTGATGCGCCCCCGCCCTCAGGTCCAAGGACCAGCGCCTGGAGCAGCAACAGCTGGGTCTGGAGGAGGAGCTGCGGCGGCTGATGGACAAGCCTGGTGAGTGGCCCTGCCCACCTGGGCTCTGCTCTGCCCTCTTGCGGCCAGCTGCCCAGCGTGGTCACCCTTGGAGGGGTGCTGGAGTCAAGGTCAGGACAGGCCTGATTTCGGTTCTCTGGTTTTGTGGCTGTGTGCTGTGTTACCTCGGCCAAGGTGCTCAGCTCTGCCTGCACTTTCTCTGTGGTCCCTGCGTGCTGGCTACTGACAAGAACATGAGCACCCCCTTTGAACCAGGCACCTGCTGTGCAGGAGAGAGGAGCAGTCCACTTCATACAGATTACAACATCTGGAACCCACTGGGGGCGCTGGGCCACCCCGGCCACGGAGGCCTGCCTGTGATTTCCTGACCCCTCCGTCATCCTTCCTCCGTAAAGTCTATCTTAGATTGAATCATACCCCCAAAGATTTACATAGGATCCTTTTTGGAAATGGGGTTTCCTTTTGTTCAGTTAGCACCATCCCACCATAGTGAGGAGTCCTGGTGGTGCAGTGGTTAAGAATTTGGTTGCTAACCAACAATCTGCACTCTGGGCACCAGCTGTCAGGAGATCAAGACGAGGCGCACTGGGAAGATCTGCTGTCAGGGACCTCTCCAGAGTGCTGAAGAGCAACAGTGTCACTCTAGAGACTAAGGTATGCCTGATCCAGGCCGTGGTCTTCACAAGAGCTGGACAATGACTAAGGATGACAGAAGAATCAATGCCTTTAAGTTGTGGTGCTGGAGAAGAGTCTTGAACAGACCATGGACTGCCAAGAAAACAAATAGGTCTGTCTTGGAGAGGGTGAAACCAAGTTTCTCCTTGGAAGCTAGGAATTTGAAGCTCCGTCTCACATATTTTGGGCACGTGGTCGGAAAGGACTGGTCCTTGGAAAAGGACATCATGCTTGGAAGGGTGGAGGGACAGTGCAGGAGAGGAAGACCCCAGATAAGATGGATTGCTAGAGTAACTAGGGGAATAGGGGACGGTGTGTTGGAGTCAGTGAGACTGGCTCGGGACAGGGCTGGCTTCAGAGCTGCTGTACACAGGGTCACTATGAATCACCAACAACTCGACAGCACATAACCACAACAACAACCCAAAGGTTGACAAAGGGTCAAGCCCACAAGCTGCTCCATGGGATGAAGATGGGGCTGTCACTCCTATAAAGATCACGGCCCTGGAAGTCCTGTGGGCAGCTCTGTGCGGTGCTGCAGGGTCAAAGGCAAAGATGGTGAAGAAGCAAGGCCTGAAAATCAGCCCATGGGACCTACGGGTGTGACTACAGGGTAGGATCTACAAGGTGTGACTACAGGGTGGGATCTATAGGGTGTGACTACAGGGTGTGACTATAGGGTGTGACTGAAGGTTGTGACTACAGGGTGGGAGTACAGGGTGTGACTACAGGGTGTGACCTTCAGGTAGGACCTATGGATGTGAATACAGGTGTGACTTACAGGGTGGGACCTATGGGTGTGAATACAGGGTGCGACCTACAGGGTGTGACCTATAGGGTAGGACCTATGGGTGTGAATACAGGATGTGACTACAGGGTGGGACCTATGGGTGTGACTACAGGGTGAGACCTATAGGGTGGGACTACAGGGTGGGACCTATGGGTGTGACTACGGGGGTGCAACTGTGGGGTGTGACTACAGGGTATGACTACCCGGTGGGACTAAGAGTGGGACTACAGGTGGGACCTATGTGTTCAGACCTACGGGATGGGACTAGAGACCTACCAGTTTGGACTTACAGAGTGGGACGTGGCACTGGAGGGTGGCCCTGGGAACACAGTGGCCGTGGACTGGGGCTCATTGGCATTGTCTGATGAGGACAGCTGGGCCAGGGCTCTTTCTCTCTGAGGCGCGTGGGTCACCACCAAGCAGAGCTGGCCTATCAGCTGTCAGCAGCAACTGTGGGCAGGAGTCTTGGGAGGACAGTGAGGTGGCCTGCACAGGGGTCTGATGGCTGGTCATTCCATCACTGTCATGTCGGTGTTACTGACAGCCCCTGGATGCCGCAGACCCAGGCTCCACAAGCCGGGTGTTGGACGGTCTAGCTGGAACTGCCCCGTCACTGACCCGCTGGCTTTTTGAGGCTGAAATCACAGGAGGAGCCTGGCGTTCTGTCCCCTGCAGAGTGACTGTGGATCCAAGCTGGGGAGACGTGGCCCTTGGGTTTGCAGGGGTGCTGTGTCTCTGGGCCCCCAATCCTGCTGACACCCCAGCTGTCCCCACAGAGGCCCTAAAGTCACCCCGGGACCGGCAGCGGGAGGATGAGCTGCTGCACCGGTACGTGGACACCGTGAATGACCGCAGTGACATCGTTGACTGCCTGGATGAGGACCGGCTCAGGTGGGCAGCCCCCGCAGTCCCTGACCAGATATGTCACCAAGCCTTTTCTGCCCCATGTTTCTTTGGCTCTTGGGGTCTGCATTGTCTAGTGGAACATTCTAGAAGGCAGGAAGGCTCTGTGCCCTGCTCACACGTGCTCACTGAGCAACTGGAAGGCCATATTTTGTTTATTTCAAGAGTATTTGAATGTGGGATCTTCTGGCAACTGGACTAATGACACTTTCAGGACTGTCCCCAGTATCCCAGGCCCACGTAGGGTACCTGCCCCGGCTGTGGAGGGCAGCTGAGAGTGCAGGTACCTGGGAGCAGGTCTGCCCAGGCCACCCTCTGTCCTGTCACCAACGAGCGGCTATTGTTAATCCAGGCTGGTCGGGCTCAGAACAGGCAGGACACTTACCCCGAGTCTCAGTTCCAGGGTGGGTGAGTGCAGCTAGCTAACTCAGAGGTTATTTTGGGGGGGGAGGTGTAGATGGTGGCCCCAAGTGGCAGAGAGGTGGCATATCTGCACAGGATCCAGGAAGGAGCCCTGGTGGTATTGTGGACTAAATGGGCTGCTAACCAGAAGACAGCGGTTCAAATCTACCAGGTCCACAAGAGAAAGACAAGGCGGTGTGCTCTGGCAGGCAGCCTGGGGCGTCCTCTGGGCAGCCTGGGGCGTCCTCTGAGGCAGCCTGGGGCGTCCTCTGAGGCAGCCTGGGGCGTCCTCTGGGCAGCCTGGGACGTCCTCTGAGGCAGCCTGGGGCGTCCTCTGGGGCAGCCTGGGGCGTCCTCTGGGGCAGCCTGGGGGGTCCTCTGAGGCAGCCTGGGGCGTCCTCTGGGCAGCCTGGGGCGTCCTCTGAGGCAGCCTGGGGTGTCCTCTGGGGCAGCCTGGGGGGTCCTCTGAGGCAGCCTGGGGCGTCCTCTGAGGCAGCCTGGGGCGTCCTCTGGGGCAGCCTGGGGGTCCTCTGGGCAGCCTGGGGGGTCCTCTGGGCAGCCTGGGGGGTCCTCTGGGCAGCTGGGGGGTCCTCTGGGCAGCCTGGGGGGTCCTCTGGGCAGCCTGGGGGGTCCTCTGGGCAGCCTGGGGCATCCTCTGGGCAGCCTGGGGCGTCCTCTGGGGCAGTCTGGGCGGTCCTTTGGGCAGCTGGGGGGTCCTCTGAGGCAGCCTAGGGGGTCCTCTGGGGCATCCTCTGGGCAGCCTGGGGGGTCCTCTGGGGCAGCCTGGGGGGTCCTCTGGGCAGCCTGGGGGGTCCTCTGAGGCAGCCTGGGGGGTCCTCTG